AAGAAGTCTATCCTTCATCTCCTTCACCTTCTACTTATTATTTGTAAATGTGTCTCCACCCCTACCCCTGCCAGCTGCTTTTGTGCTGTTCTCTTTGTAACTGATTTTCAGTTTCATTTGTTGCCTCTAATGTTATATGTATGTGCATGTGTGTGTGTGGATATCCTCCTTAGGGTTCATTAGATCTTGGATTTGTTTGTTTTATCAAATTTGCAAAACTTTTGGCAATTATTTCTTCATTTTTTCTTTCCTTTCTGTCTTACTTGAAACTATGATTACGTATGTGAAAGATTGCCTGGTATTGTCCCTTTTGACCTTGAGGCTCCATTTACTTCTCTGCCCAATTTTTGCTCTTTCTGTGCTTCCATTTAGATAGATTCTGCTTCTCTACAAGTTTGCTTATCTTTTCTTCTTCAGTGCATATTCTTCTGTTAACCCATTAGTTAACCCATAGTATATTTATCATTTTAAATTTACATTTAATCTTTAGCATTTCCATTTAGGCCTTTAAAAAATATTTTTCCTTTCTCATCAAGCTGATGCTTAACCTTAAACATATGAAGCATGTTTCTCATCACTGTTTCAATGACCATATCTGGTAATTCCACCATTTCTGTCATTTTTGACTGATCTTTTCTTCTTTATTAGTTTGCTAGGCCTTCCATAATAAAATTCCACAGGATTGATGGATTAAATAAGTTTACTTTCTCACCATTCTGGGGACTGAAATTTAAGGTGATAGCAGGAAACAGTGACAGACTTTATTTTCTTGAGCTCCAAAATCACTGCAGGTGGTGACTGCAGACAAGAAATTAAAAGATGCTTGCTCCTTGGAAGAAAGGCTATGAGAAACATAGTGTATTAAAAAGCAGAGACATTGCTTTGCCAACAAAGGTCCGTATAGTCAAAGCTATGGTTTTTCCAGTAGTCACATATGGATGTGAGAGTTGGACCATAAAGAAGACTGAACACCAAAGAATTGATGCTTTTGGGACTATGGTGTTGGAGAAGACTCTTGAGAGTCCCTTGGACCACATGGAGATCAAATCAGTCAATTGTAAAGGAAATCAATCCTGAATATTCATTGGAAGGACTGATGCTGAAGTTGAAGCTTCAATACTTTAGCCTCCTGATGCGAAGAGTTAACTCATTGGAAAAGACCCTGATGCTGGGAAAGATTGAAGGCAGAAGGAGAAGGGGATGACAGAGGATGAGATGGTTGAATGGCATCATTGACTCAATGGACATGAGTTTGGGCAGGCTCCAGGAGATGGTGAACGACAGGGAGGCCTGGCGTGCTGCAATACATGGAGTCGCAAAGAATCAGACATAACTGAGCAACAAAAACAAGGGTGGATTTCCTCTGAGACCCTCCTTGCCTTGCAGAGGACCACCCTCTTCCTATCTCTTCACATAGTCATTCTTTTATCTGTGTATGTGCATCTCTAGTGTATCTTTAATGGCTTCTCTCATAAGGACCCCAGTCAGATTGCAATAACATTGACCTAATAACATCATTCTAGCTTAATTATGTCTTTAAAGGCCCTATGTCCCAATATAGCCACATTCTGGGGTACTGAGGGTTAGAGTTTCAACCTGTGAATTTGGGGGAGGGGGCAAGATTCAACCCCTAACACTTTTAGTTACAATTCATAATTTTTTGCTATATACATTCCTGGTAATTTTTTGATTTGGGCTGAATGACTCACAAATTGGAATCAGGATTGCAGGGAGGAATATCAACAACCTCAGATATGCAGATGATATCACTTTAATGGCAGAAAGCAAAGAGGAACTAGAGAACTTCTTCATGAGTGTGAAAGAGGAGAGTGAAAGAGCTGGCTTAAAACTCAACATTCAAAAAATGGAGATCATGGCCTCCAGTCCCTCACTTCATGGCAAATAGGTGGGGGAAAACTAGACAATGACAGATTTTATTTTCTTGGGCTTCAGAATCACCACAGATGGTGACTGCAGTCAAGAAATTAAAAGACTCTTGCTCCTTAGAAGAAAAGCAATGGCAAACCTAAACAGTGTATTAAAAAGCTGAGACATTACTTTGCCTGCAAAGGTCCATAGAGTCAAAGCTATGTTTTTTCCAGTAGTCATGTATGGATGTGAGATCTGAACAATAAAAAAAGGCTGAGCGCCGAAGAATTTATGCTTTCAAACTGTGGTGCTGGAGAAGACTCTTGAGAGTCCCTTGACTAGCAAGGAGATCAAACCACTCAGTCGTAAAGGAAACCAACCCTGAATAGTCATTGGAAGGACTGTTGCTGAAGAAGCTCCAAAACTTTGGCCACATGATGCAAACAGCCAGCTCATTGGAAAAGACCCTGATACTAGGAAAGATGGAGGCAAAGAGGAGAAGGGGACAACAGTGGATGAGATGGTTTGATGTCATCACTGACTCAATGGACATGAGTTTGAACAAACTCTGTGAGATAGTGAAGAACAGGGAAGCCTGGTGTGCTGCAGTTAATGGGGGTCACAAAGAGCAGGACACAACTGAGTGACTCAACGACAACAATTTTGTACTTTTAGATGTCTAATGCCAACATTTATTTATTCTTTTCAATACTGTTGCACTTGTTTCTGGCAAACACTTTTGTTACTTGGGTTTAGTTTGATCTTTCCAGAGCTTGCTTTTAAGCTATATGAGTAATGTCAGGAAGGAGGAAATGGCAACCCACTCCAGTACTCTTGCCTGGTAAATCCAATGGACAGAGGAGCATGATGGACTACAGTCTTTTGGGTTGCAAAGAGTTGGATGCAGCTGAGCACACCTGCACACACAGTATGAATCCAGAACACCCTGCAGTCTAAGGCTAAATGTAAGGTGAGTAAGTGAGGTCCCTCAGTCATGTCCGACTCTTTGCGACCCGGTGGACTGTAGCCTACCAGGCTGCTCCATCCATGGGATTCTCCAGGCAAGAACACTGCAGTAGGTTGCCATTTCCTTCTCCGGGGGATCCTCCCGACCCAGGGATCAAACCCTGGTCTCCCGCATTGCAGGCAGACGGTTTACCCTCTGAGCCACCAGAGAAACCCAGTCTAAGGCTAATTTTAGCAAATCCTGCCTACATTTTGCAAATAAGGTAATACCTGTTAAAGTCTCCTATCCATTGCCAATATATTACATGTAGGTATTTCCATTTTAGCTTGTGGTATTATGAATTGTTGATAACCTTGTATAAACTCAGAATTTTTTGGCCTTCTTCCTGGTAGTTCTTTACCCAGCTTCACAAGGAGATTAGCACTCAGCCAAAGACTTGAAGATACTCCCCTGCAGATCTCCAGAGCTTCTTTCTTTTGATATCTTCTCACTTTCTGTATTGGAGAAGGCAATGGCACCCCACTCCAGTACTCTTGCCTGGAAAATCCCACGGACGGAGGAGCCCGGTAGGCTGCAGTCCATGGGGTCGCTAAGAGTCGGACATGACTGAGCGACTTCACTTTCGTTTTTCACTTTCATGCATTGGAGAAGGGAATGGCAACCCACTCCAATCTTCTTGCCTGGAGAATCCCAGGGACGGGGGAGCCTGATGGGCTGCTGTCTATGGGGTGGCATAGAGTCGAACACGACTGAAAAGACTTAGCAGCAGCACTTTCCGTAGAGCTGCTTTAGTCTTCATGAACTCCATTCCTTTGTCTTTAACTCAGTAAGAACACCAGCCTCTGCATGAGTTTCCCTCTTATGAGCTTCAGCTTCTTTTTTTAATCGTTTGTTACATTATTTTTAAATTTTCTTTATAATTGAAGGATAATTGATTTACAATGTTGTGGTGGTCTCTGCTGTACATCAGTGCGAATCAGTCATAATTATGTATATATCCTCTCCCTCTTGGGCTCCCCCACTTCCACCCCCTTCCATTTTTTAAATCACCTTCAGGCAACAAGTAGAAACAATTTTGGGGCTCACCTTATTTTTTTCATTTTTCTTAGGGATGAACAGTTCTGTGCTGCCTATTGGCCAGTATCCGGAAATAATAGTTTTATATGTTCTTTGTTTTTTATGTAAGTGCAAGAGGGAAAATCTAGTCCCTATTACTCCATCATGGGTGCAAGTAGAAATTTATTTTGTGGTTCTTTGTTTCATTTTTCAAGGTTAAAAGTTTTCAATAAACCTCTGTTTTCAGTATTTATTATAAATTTAGGTACCCATTTAAATGGATTCTTTCTGTTCAGCAACAATTATTCTCAGATAATGAATACATACAATATTTATCCAAGCTGTGATTAGAATTGTTAGTCATTTTGATATCCTAGGAAGAACTCAATACAAATCAACAAACTTTGAAGGGAATCAATGTGAAATAGTAGTCATTTCATGGAATGTATTTATTCTATTTGTTAGGAATATGTATAATTTGTCTCCTGAAAAGTTGGTGAATAATAAAACCTGCTTGGCATTTGTTACAGTTATTGTGGAATATAAATAAAAGAAAATGTATCCAGATTAATATTCTTATTGTTTTAATGTGGATGTAAATTAGTCACTTAAAATTATTCTTCCAAATTGGTAATAGCTTCCTTGTCTTTTGTCTTATTCACCATGTCTGGTGAAAAATCCATGAGATCTTTAGAGGAAAAAAAATGTCTGTAAAGCATCTAGTATGAGATGAACTGATAAGGTCCAGGATGGATGGGAATCTGTTCATATGTCACATGTGAGGCAGTTGACATCTATCAGTTGCTGCTCTTGACTTTATTTCTGCCCTCATCAGTGACATGCAGACTGCTCAGTCTCTCTGATAATTAACAAATATGTGTCATATTTTTTGAATTATCTTGATTTCTGGCATAAAAAGCATGAGGTAAATAAAATATATTCCCTTACATTTCGTAATACAGTGGTTGGAAAATTATTCACATACAAAGATGTATACATCGAGAAATTAACTTTATTAACACTTTAAACACACTGCTGAAATATACTTCTTGTCATGTTCTGCCTTATTTTCCATCTGATTTTCCATTTTCTCTCTTTGTCTTTCCAGGAAAACAGTTGGTGTTTTTTGCTGTGGACCCAATTCGATTTCTAAGACTCTTCATAAGCTGAGTAATCAAAACAATTCCTATGGGACAAGATTTGAGTACAATAAAGAATCTTTCAGTTGAAAAACCTCTGAGATGAACAAGGACTCTAACGAAGGAATGAGTGCAATTTCTAAGGCTTTGAAATGCAGCTGAATCAAACAGCTGTGTCATGCCAAACAGTAGCAAGGTTTTCTTATTTATGATTATTTAAAATGGAAATGCGGAGAGAATGTGGCAGGATGACAGGTCACATTACATGTTTAATCTGGAAACCAAAGAGGCCCTGAAGGATATCTGATGTGATTATTCACTTTTCACTGCTCAGATTAAAAGAAAACTATTAGGTGCACACTGTTGATTTTTATGGCAGATTCAAGAACTCCCTAGTGAGGAGTTGCACTTGCTCATTGTGAGGCTGGTAGCCTTGGTTCTCTTTTAAATTGTTTTTGGTTGAACAAATGCAAGATTGAACAAAATTAAAAATGCTTTGAAACTCAGATTACATTTTCTACATGAATATAAACAGAGAAGCATTGATTTAGAAAAGCTCCAGGCCAATATATTAGGTGTCTGAAAATACAGCACAGGATTCTGAGTTGATACGGGTACTTTGTGTTGCTTGCTCACTACTGATGCTAATACCTCTACTTGATATCTATAGGCTCTATGCTCAATGAACCTTTTGCAGATGCTGATATAATATCTATTGATTTTTTAAAATATTTTTCTTTCATCTTTGTTCCTTTGTCTAGGGAAATCTGTCCTCCCTTGTCATGTGTTAGACACGATGATTTAATCACTCCTTTCCATTCCCAATTTATTTAATCTCTCACTATTACATTTTAATGAGGAAATGTCATTAATGTAAATTATAAAGGGACATACAGACTGATAACTTTTTTCCTTTTTCAGCATCTTGACCTCCATTATTATTTCCTTTTTTCCCAGTGTAGTTTATCTTTAGGTTTTAGTCTCTTAGTCTGCATTTTGAAGACCAAAGGATATTGTGTCTGCCAATGGTCACTGAGATATAAATTCTTTCTCTTTTTCACACATTGGTTTATGATGAAGACAAAGTGTGGTCACTTCCTTGAATAGGAAACCTGTATTTTACTCTTTATCCAAGAGGAAATACTTAATCAGTTATGGAAATTTAAGTTCTGAGTCAAGAATATTAGTGTTGCACTGTCTGGCATTCTGGGTCTTGATAAAGAATTACTGAGTTTAAAGTCCCTGTAGGGAAAGTGCTGTGTGATCCTATCAGGTTATGCTCCCTGCCCATTATATTCTCAGCTCAGAAAATATATTTCACTACCTTAAGACTTAAGGCATTTTTACAATTTAGTGGTTTTCTTTTGTAGAATTGCTATCAAATATAGCACATTGCTGAAATCAGCAACATAGCTTGTCTTGCCTTTGTTAAAATTTTGCATGATATAACATAACATGATAGATTCTACTGTCATCTTTTTGCTCTGACTCACCAATAGCAATTAAGCATGCTAAACCATCTAGCATTAAATGCCCATAAACATATTACAGCTATTTCTTCCTCTCCTTGGAACTCTTTTTGTTCTCTCTGGAAGGAAAGTGAGTCAGAAAAAGATATGGGAAATGTGCAATGTTCCTGCAGATTTAGCTCTGAAGGCATATTTAATAACCAGTACATCTTGGCAACTTTCTAAAATAAAAATAATTTTCATAAAAACACATAACAGGAGAAAACTGGTAAAAAGAAATGAGTTAGTACAGGCTTGTATGCAATATTCTTTACTAATTATAATTTATTTATGTGATTATGTTAATAAACCTCATCTCAGTAAAACTGGTGGAAGAAGAAGAATGATCTTTCCAAGTAGGTCAGCTATACTACATGAAACTCTTTGCCTATTTTATTTAAATTCCAGTGGATGTTCAAACACTGAGTGTTAGACATAGGTAATTTTTGCTTCTGTAAGTAGGAAAGAAACTAGGACTTCATCCTGTGTGCCTTAGAACTTTGTTTTCTTTAGAGGAATTCTTTCTCTGGGGCTAATTCTTGTCAGACTGATCTTTAAAAAGTAATTTTAATGGCAATAAATGCTAAAATTGAAATGGTATCCTTCAAATCTCTGTAAGCTTACTTTAGGTTTGCAAAAGATAAAGCAGGCAGAGTTTATTCACAAGATGGCACAAAGTTGAGTGCAGCAGCGTAACCTTAGGCATTTGGGTTCTGGGGCTGTTAATGTCCCTGGCTAATGGCGTGACTACAGAAAATTGCTCTTCACTATGTGATGAAGATTTCTCATTTGCATCAGATCTGTAGTTATTAGTCTTTTTAGCAATGTATATTTTTGCAAACTTGATTAAAATGAATATTATGACACACCTACAAAATATTACATTTAATTTTGGTGGGCCCACAATCTCCAAAAGCAACAGCTCCTGTTTGAGAAACTCTGAACAAAATAAGGGCTTCCCGGGGAGTTCCGCGGGTTACGAATCCACCTGCAATGCAGGGAACACAGGAGACACAGAAGACTTTGATCCCTGGGTCAGAAGATCCCCTGGAGGAGATCATGGCAACCCAATCCAGTATTCTCAGCTGGCAAATGCCATGAAAGAGGAGTCTGGCGGGCTACAGTTCCCAGGGTAGCAGAAAGTTGGACACGACTGAGCTACTGAGCACACACACACAAACAGAAGAATCATCTTTACAGTTTTTTTTTAACCTATACCTTTCAGTTCTCTGATTTTTTTTGGAAGAAACTACAGTTTTTTTTAAAGGATTGTTCTAAGAAATGAACTATGTAGACAAAGGAAAGGAAATTCTCTCTATATGCCCCCAGACCATGAATCCAATGGAATTTTCCACTCAGTTTTTAATCTTTTTTGGATTTCCTGTTTTGTGTAAGAGAATGCTGTGATTTTTATGTTTCAATTATTTTATAATACAAAACTGAGATTCACACACACATACACACACAGACCCCACTCACATACATTTAGAGCTTGCTGTTTTTGTCTTGGGATGTTTTTTCATTTTTGTCTTTATTGTTTGTTGTTTTTTTAAATTCAAGTTAAAGTTTAGATGATTGATAGTTTTTTGTTTTGTTTTGTTTTTAATTTACTGACTTTAAACACCACTTAGGCATTGTGATATTATAAACATTTAAAACAAAGAAATAAAGCAATGTAAACAAAGCATAGGCTGAATTGATTTAATCAATGGATCCATGTTACTCATAACCCCCCAAATCAGAGTTTGTTTGAAGCGTTAGCAACAGGTACTGGATTTAAATTATAAGTCATCATTAAAGAGGCTTGCTGGAAGCAAATGGGCCAGGATTGTCATCAATAGATCAAGTTGCTGATAAAGAATATTTATTATATTAAGAAGAAAAAATTTTAAGTAAAAAAATGTTTCTTTTTTCTTTAAGGATGGTAAACTCAGTGGAACAGGGATTTTTCTAAACACCCCATGAGACACATTTTAAAGTGCTTCTCTGATAAGCAGATTCCTTTTCTTGTGTTATCCAGGATACTTTAATATATTATAGAAACATAAAGTGATGAGATGGTTGGATGGCATCACTGACTCAATGGACATGAGTTTGAGCAAACTCTGGGAGAGAGTGACAGGGAAGCCTGGCATGCTGCAGTTCATGGGGTCACAAAAAGTCAGACACGACTGAGCAACTGAACAACAAAGTGCTGAAGCTGGAACTACTCTGATTGTGCAGTTGAAGAATCTGAGGACCAAAGGGAGGTGAAAACTTGCTTCAAGTCATCCATTGAGTTTGTCACAGACTAGACTTTAGTAATCTCTGCTACTGAAAGGGGCTTCCCCCCTCCCTGTGACATATACATTTAATAAGTCACATCTGTTGGCTTGGACCTCCCCATAAACTCTATTTAGTGTTAGGTGGAAAATAATGAGTGTTAATTCCACATTCAGATAGAGAAAATCAGTCTTTTCCCCTATGTCTCTTCTAATTTCTTACTTAGCCTTATATGTTTTGCTGATTAGAGCCTATTTCCAGATAGCAGTTTTAAAATATGTCAGTTGTGGTAAAGGGATTATGTTTTCCAGGAGTTTGTAATGGAGAAATACATAGTAATATAGTTTCTAGGAAATGCTAATATTGTAATTTTAAATTTAAAGTCATAGACCAAAGTCATAACTTCAGCAACTTTCTAACCACCCAGGGAAATGTTGATACTAAAACAAATGACTTTGGTTCTCTATTCACATGACCATAACACACTTCTTGTTCAGGAGAAGAGAGTCAGCTTTTTGTAAACTCCTGAGACAGGAAATAAATGAAATCAAGCATAATGAGATGGACATTTAGTTGTACTACCACAGAACAATGAGAACTCTTTTCCTTCTGTCTAAATCTCCCCTCCATTACCCCCAACTTCTTTATTTCATTCTGTAGTATTCTCAAAGGACAGAGTTTCAAGAGCTAGCTAGGTGAGGTTTTCCAAAGAAAAAAAGCAGATTTCCAATACTTAGCAAAGAAATGTCCAATAAGGGAAAAGAGGAAAAAAGGTCATGTGAATCATTTAAAATTAGCAGAGTTAAGCAGCATTGTTTTTGAACAGACACCAGTAATGTTTCTGAAGCTAATACACAGAATTTTTATTTTCTCCTGTACAAAAGTTTGATGTTCATCTTTATAGAATCTAAAAATAGATTTTTATTGTATTTTACACTGGTGCAGAATCCCCAGTAGTCTTAATACTGCAATTTAAGAATTAGTAAGTGCAGGAAATGCCTCATAGGAGCAAAACTGGAAGGGAGGAAAAAGGGAATCAAAGAAAGAAAAACTGTTTAACAGATCAGGACACATTAATGCTTTATTTTCATAGCATAGATGCTCAGATGGGTGGCGAAACTAGCTATTACTCTGTTGGAAAAATGTAAAGAATGTTGTGTTTGGTTCATCTTTAGGAATCCTCTCATTTTCATTGTTACTTGAATTTTTGTAGAAGCTTTACTTTTGATCAGAATTCTATTTGGCTTCTATAAGAATTAGAGCTTTGATGAGCTGCCGGTTGCCCTGGAGACAACCCCGATATTTCGATGAGGACCAGCGCCACATAAATGCTTTAGTATATGTGGCAATAAAGGGAGGCTGCCAGGCACTGCTTCAGCTGCCTATGCTGTGCATTGACATTCTGTCACTGCAAGGTCATATTTCTCAGCGCCTATCCTTCTACCCAGAGAGTGAAATCTTCCTAAAAAGGCAGATGCTGAGAAAGACATTCTGCTGTGTCAACAGTGTATCTGTTCACCTACATCAGCACATTCATCTGAAGATAGTTATCATTTTAGGATAACTATAAAATTCATTTTAGTGGTGAGAAATATCCACAAGTCATGATATGGGAGGCAAGCTTGTCTACTGTATATATTACAGAATATATTTATATATACACAAGCACAGTGCTCTCAGTCATGTCTGACTCTTTGTGATCCCATGGACTGTAACCCGCCAGGCTCCTCTGTCCATGGGAATTCTCCAGGCAGGACCACTGGAGTGGGTTGCCATGCCCTTCTGCAGGGGATCTCCCCAACCCAGGGATCAAACCCAGGTCTCTGGCACTGCCAGCAGAGTCTTTACCATCTAAGCCACCAGGAAGCCCATATGTATGTGTGTGTATATATATATGTACACACACACACATAAGGCTCAGCTGGAGTGGATACCTTGGAATATTTAACCACTGTCTCCTTAGCCAATGGATTGGCTGCTATATATATACTCAGCTCTCCAGCTGAACCTTGCGTGCTAAGTTGCTTCAGTCATGTCCGACTCTTTGTGACCCTATGGACAGTAGCCCGCCAGGCCCCTCTGTCCATGGGGATTCACCAGTCAAGAATACTAAAGTGGATTGCCATGCCCTCTTCTGGAGGATCTTCCTGAGTCAGGGATCTGACCTGTGTTTCTTAAGTCTCCTGCATTGGCACGTGGGTTCTTCACCACTACCACCACCTGGGAAGCTGAGCCTTAAGGAAGGCAAAATGCCTTCTGACACACGCACTGGAACTGACCTGGGTTGCAGGCCAGGCTCAGTGATTAGATGTGCTACACAGTTTAAGCTGCAAACCCCCAGAGTCTGTCCAGCTCAGGAAAATACCAGCTCTTGAGTCAGCTTGGCATCATGAATCACATACCTGGGTACCCACTAGGTACAATTATATTCTTATTTAAAGGTGGCCAATATTTGCTCACCAGATGACATTAGGAGAAAAGTGTCTTTATGGTCTTGTTCTTTTCATTAAAATTTAAGTTCAGAGTTGGGAAAAGTAAACATCACTTTAAAAAGTGGGAATAATTGGCAGCAGTTCTGTTCTTCCCTGAGACTGCTAATTTTATCATTTTATTCAGGCACCTCCAGTGTGAAGAGTGAACAGGATCCTGGGTTAGAAACCAGAAGACTTGGTAGCCTTTAGCCCTGAAAAGTATTCGACCACATGCATAAAAATAGAAATAATATCTGCCTCTGCTAAACTCACAAGGACGCATTATGGCAAGCATGCGGAGGAGAGGAGGGGAGGGTGGTGAAGAAGGATACATTCCGGGCAAATCTTCCTTAATAGGTGTTTTTGATTGTACAGTCAAAATAAAACACATCTCTATGTAAAAACACAGGCTTTTCCGAGTTACAGCCATTGTTAACTAAAAGAATTTATATTTTCTGGGCATGTAAAAAAGTACCCACAAGCAAATTGGCACCACTGTCTCTGCTGAGATTTCTATAAACAAAGCCACCTTTTTGTCCTGTGTAACTGTCGTCTGAATTCCTCTTGAGTATTTTAGATCAGGCAGTGTGGCTGGAGATAGCTGTATTTATCTATGAGAGTTGAACTAGGAATTGTTGGAGGGTGATACAAGTTACTTGCTTATTTAAGGTTTGATGGAGAAAAATCAGATGCTTTTGAGACATCCTAGTGAATTAAAACAAGGCCTTAATCTTAGAACTAGAAATAATTCTAAAAAAGCTTTGTAGGAATAATTATACAAAGCACCTGCATTGTAGCTATTTTTTCCTGGATGGAAATAACATTATCTTTTTTCTTACGCTCAACAAAGAAACCGTATTATATATTTTCATCAAAGCTTTGTAGATATTTGTATTTAAATTATGTATATGCATATGTATGTGAGAGAATATTTTTATGATAGATTTAAGGAAAAATTGCCTATGTGAAATGACATTCTACAATAATGTGTAATGATACTTTTAACTTCCATTAATAAGCATTCAGTAGTGGCAGGTTCACAATTGAAGAAAACATAGTTCACTTATGACAATGTGAGATACTCAGAAGTCTAGGCGCTTGATTCTTGTTGAGCTGAATGGAAGTGTGATTTTATACGGTGCTGGAAAGGAAGCACTACGTCAGATTCAACACTTAAAGAATTGGGAAAAAATACAATTATTTATATATGTAAGTTTATTGGTATAGAATTGTGGTACATTGTAGAAAACCTTCATTGTTTTGCTAAACAAATAAAGGTTGGGTAAATATTCCTAAAATTCATTTAATTATAAATGAATTTCATGCCTTTGGCAGTAATAATCAAGAATTTTTTTCCAGGATTTTGAGTATGTTAGTGTTTTTTCATCCTATGAAAGACCAAA